AGGAAAGGAAAGGAAAGGAAAGGAAAGGAAAGGAAAGGAAAGGAAAGGAAAGGAAAGGAGAGGAGAGGAGAGGAGACGAGAGGAGAGGGGGACTTCTTTTTTTTTGTTTTTTCAAAAATGAAAATTAGCGACTTCTGTTTAATAGCACCATCTGTTCACATACAGAAAAAAAACAAACACATTGTGTTTCCACTCATTAATTACAAATACCTATATTTAGTTCAAGTCAGTGAGCTGCATAAGCCCCTTGTAATCCATCCAAGGCCAAGTGAACCGCTGTTTGTCTACACAAGCACAATTATCTTCGTCCTGTACATATTTCCAGCTTTCAAACTTAAGAGTTTTGACGAGTCGGGGGAAAAAATTCTTACGCCACATTAATCACACTTCATTAGCTTCACATTCCCGCGAACATAAATGTCACTGACACATCAAGTCCGGCCGCTACAGGTGAATTACAAGTGCAAATACATCAGATTTGTTGCTGCTTATGCTACGTGACATCATTTTTCACGGAGGAAAACGCGGCGCTCCGTGCATTCATCACCATGTTCATGACATGCCACTCGGACGTAAATTGAAATCCTACGGCTAATGTGCTGAGACCAAGAAAAGACGCAATCCCTCATCACAGGAAGCATGTGTGGCAGAACAAAGATGAAGTAGAACTCTGCTCTGGGAGTCTTAATAACAACGATGTTCCACTCGCGATCAAAAAGCCACTTCAACCAGAGACCGGTTGTTGCACTGATTCTAAGAAGCTACACTTTTGTTCCTCCAACGGTCTCGTATGCGACTTCAGGAGAAAGACGACGAGCGTGTTGTGGCGTGAAAAAGAAAGAAAGTGAAGACGAACACAAAGTGGAAGGAACCACTGGTCCCTGAAGTGGCTGTAAATTCCCATTTCAAAGTTTTAATGATACCCTCAGTGGTCCTAAACATAGAAACCAGGAGGCTCAGTTGATTTTTTCTATTTAAAAAAAAAAAAAAAAAACCCTAAAAAACAGCTGCACAAATCCAAGCTGTGGCAAATTCAGCAGCTTGGAAAAAAAAAAAAAAAAAAACCCTAAAAAACAGCTGCACAAATCCAAGCTGTGGCAAATTCAGCAGCTTGGTTGTCGCAAATGAAAACAAGTCATCATGCCAAATGCCAAATTTATCCAAAATTGAACCACAGCACTGAAGTAAACTAATTTAGATGTTTAATCTTAATTTTAGAGCCTGTGAATGAGTGTTTCTAACTGGAACGCTCCACCGTATTTGCAGATGCATAAATATGGATGAGGTGTGACGTCACCTGTTGGTTCGATGCCCAGAGTTGCAGCTCGCGGTCAACACGCTCCTCTCTGTTGTTGTCGGGGGGCAAGGACGTTCCGAGTGATTGTAATCAAGAACAAACATTACATTTGCAGAAATACGGCGTGATGGCATCCTCAGTGGATCTTGTTAGTGCAACACTTTAAGCACAAACAGACTAGAACTCCATGTCTGGAGAAAGAAAAAAAAAAAAAATCACTGTTTATTCTTTGAACAGAAGCTCCAAAAGTCTGGCTGCTGCTCTCCCCAGCGAGTTCAGGAGCCGAGGAGGGCAGGAGGCAGCGAGCAGCAGGAGAGCGGATTGTCAATCAAGGCTGTCCATCAGCGGCTACATGGCCGACATCAAAACATCCTATAAGACTACAAATCCAGGAGCGGTGATAATGAAGCAGAAACGATCACCTCTTAGAAGAGCTCGCATTTAGTGATTGAGACCACAATAAAATAATATCAACTCAGGATTTCTGGAGTGGGAGTTAACTGAAGCCAGGGACTTTTTTTTTTTTTTTGGAGCCAACATCTTGCGGCTTCTGCCTCAAGCTGTGGCAGCTCCCACTTGTATTCATAGTTAACTTCTATCCTTAAATACATTTTTCTTTTTTATTAAAAGAGATGTATTCATCTTGATGATTCAATTGGGACAGTTTAATGCCCGACCAAGAATTGATCAAGTGACCCACATACACGTCATCAGTCTAGATGAATGGGACTGAGCATTCAAAACAACTTCTTCTGTTTTGCTAGCAGACTGGTTGGTGACGCTATAACTTTGCAGTTTATATAAGCAGCTCTCACCAAGCTGCTGGGAAAAAAAAGGGTTGCAGCACACTGACATGCCCCCACACATCATATAAGCCAGCACACACACACACAGATACATCTCCCTGAAGTACAGACCTGCCCAGAGGACACGGTGCACCACTGTGAGTAGTAGCGATGCAGTTCAAGAGTGCATCATTGGTTGCATCCTACAGTACAAAGCCTGGGAATAATGCTGTATCATCACACAGCGCTGGCAGACCAGACCCAATTAATCACACTCATGGGGACTTGTTGCTAGCCTGTCTATTAGCGATGTGCGCATGTTTTTAATGCCTCTGGACTTCCAACCACTCAGTGACCTTTGGGAGAGCTCACCTAGCAGCGCGAAAAGGGGGGGAGGGTGTATAAATACTTTTGGCTTCGCTCTCCCCGGGGAGGCCTGCTGAAATGAGCTCTGCTCTCTTATTTTCTCTTATCAACTCAGTGTGAGACGGGTGGGGGTGGTGGTGGGTGGGGAGGGCCGAGAGATTGATGGAGGGAGAGAGAGGCCGAGACAGCGTGAGGGTGAGAGAAAGAGAGGATCGGGAGGAGTTGTTCAAAGGACACAGCCGGGCTGCCTGTGCAACACATCGGCTGCTTATTGATCGGCTAGAAAGCGAACATGCCTGTGACCTTGCAGCTGCGCCGAACTCTCCACCCGCCTCCAATGGCATGCGCATTAATTACCGCTAGGTGCAAACTTCTCGCATCGCCGCGCCGCGTCCCCTCTCCTCGGACTCTTGTCACAACATTCAGCTGCGACGTTAAACAGCGATATTAATATCAACGCCTCTAATATAGCTGTCAGGATGTACAGCGCTAGAAAGGCGGCGCGGTAGATAAGGAGGAGAAATTTACGATGGCGCTTTAATTTTTATTGGTGCTGCACCCTATGGGCAGCGTGACAAGAGCGCTGGTGAGCGCGCTGAAAAATGTCTCTGCTGCTGCTGCCGAAGATGAAAGACGGGAATTAAATGTGAAAGTTAGCACATTAACCTCAGTCAGGAGCAGGATTCAGCGACTTTAACTGGAATGTTCACTTCAGAAAGCCTGACTTAGTGTCCGTCTGCTCTGACTTAGCCCTGTTGGTATCTAACCACTGCGATTTCTGCCTAAACCTCCAATACAATAGAACTTAAACTTGTAATTCAGCAGCAAAATCCCTCCAGAAACAGTGTCCCCATGACTGTGAATAATCCACAGACCTCCTTGTTAACACAGTCGCAATGAACATAAGTTAGTATTCATTGTTAAGGCAGTTTGTTTTTTATTATAGACCCTCTCTAGCTTTCTAACTTGCTGGCGTATCCTTGTGATTGTTTTAAAATATGCTACAAGACACATCATGAGTAAAATAAGAACGCCATGGCTGAGCATTTCCTTCTTACAAAAACACAGATTCAGACCTCTGGGGTTTTACAATCTAAGGAAACGATCTTGCACGGGGGAGACTTTCCGTGCTACCACTCTTCTTCTTCAGGATTTCGATTCGAACACGTGTGACTGAACTCCTCCAATAACACGACTCGGTATTGTGTAGGGTGGAGTAGTTTTACGGTGCTTGAGCGGCGCGATGGGGAAGCCGACAGCTCAGGCTTCAGCGGGTTGGAAGGAGGGCAAAGGCTTGAGATCTGCACATTCCAGAGGAAGTAACAGCATAGAGTTACCATTTGAAGCATTAGAAGGCAGAAAAATGGAAATTAAACATGTAGTTTTAATGAATTTTTAAAGGTTTAATAGACGACAGAGAGGGACGTGAATCTCCATCATAACAGCATGATGGCAGGGAAAAAACATCTGTCAAAACTTGCAGAAATACAACATACATGATCTCCACACGCATATAAAGTAATTTTGGTAAATTAAACCTTCAGCACAGGCTCTGATTTTTCTTGTGACAGTTCCACAGGTTTCATGCAAGAGAAAAAAAATAAGCAAATATTTTTGTGACCAGATGAGCACGTGGTTGCGTAGCAGAGCTGCTGATGTAGGGCAACATCTGGATGAATCGACTTCTTTCTTCTGATGCAGCAGCAGCGCAATCACCGTAAAAACCAACCAGCAAAAGCCGCCTTTGGTTAAAAACGAGTTCAAAGCGCGTCCGTTGTAATATGCCATTAATTACAAGAAGACACACTTACAGTCGATCGATACCGTATGCAAGTTTCCGCGCGCTAATCCAATAAGAAAGCCATTACTGAGGCATGCAGGCATTGGTTTCATTCGGGGACATCGCTCGGTCCCCTGGAGAAATAGCAATCTGTAATAATGAGGATTTGGCTCATGACGGTGTTTTATGTCAAAGACAACTGATGACAGGACAATATAACGCCACACAGGACGTAATATATTAGTATATTGATCAGTTTGAACGTCAATATGGTGATCAATATTGCTATGAAATTGAGACGGACTGGCGGCAGGAAGCCAGTGTGCTGCTGCTAAACAAAATAGTAAAATGTTATCTGCCTCGAGGTCCTCCGTTGTTTTGTTTTTTTCAGGTAATAACTCATACTGTACGCTTTACAACACCATCCTGCACATAAATGGATTAATCGATGGAGGGATTTCACTCGTGTGAGTAAAAAAAAAAAAGTCAATGCCTTGGAAAAGTAGCGGGAGGAAAAAACTGATTCAAGACTGATCGTCTGATTTTTAAGTCCAGGATTTGCTGCTTGAATCAGATTCACATCAGTGTATGTTAAATTCCTTTGGACTACTGATGAAACACACAATGTCCGTGCATGTGTTACCGTCTTCCCCCCTCAAGTATCGAGTGATTAAATGCTCATTAATCATGTGCTGCAACTAAACTTATTTTATTCACTGCTGCATGTAAACTGTTGTATTGTGATTGGAAGGTAAAGCAACACTCCTGAAAGAAAAGTCCTTGATCAAAACTGCCTTTCAATTCAGTCCACAAGCTCACACTGTTTCTGCCTTATCTGACCTCCAATCAGTCAGTCGCCGCTAATGGCTGACACTGCCCTCTTTGTGCCCTGGCTGCGGGGCACAGGCCACTCAGGGGGGGTCAGCGTGACTCCTCATCGCCCTCATTTACTTGGGCCCCGCTAACGAGGGATGACAAATAAGATGAGAAAGGAAGGTGTGCGGGAGCAGCTTAACCAGTCCTGTAATTACTCATTCACGACTCTTATCTTCCCCGCAGACTCTCCTATCGAACCGGACAGGACACGGCCAACTGTGACACATGCCGGAACAGCGCATGCATTATTTACAGGTTAGTGGCCATTCCTCTTCAAAGACACGCCGATCTGAATGTGCCCCATCCTTTCTCCTTGAGGGGAAGTGAACAGGTGGAAGAGGGGCAGCGGAGACGAGGGGGGACGCAAGACTAATGTGACCGCTGTTAATGAGCACACGAGGACATGTGACATTTACACGCCGCGCTCTCCCTCTGAAGCTGTACGTCTCTGTCTGGTTCTGCTGTGGTCCCCCCTGCACGCCGCTCCATTCACCGAAGGGTGCTTAGCAAACGTAGCGCTAGCTGGATTTAGACAGAGAAGGGCAGACGGCTGAGGAGCGGAGAGGACACCTACTGTAGAACGAGTGCGCACGGGGCCGTGAAAGGTGAAATTAATTACCATCCAAACATCATGAAATATCATCACTGTGTGCTGTTGCCAAGCCAACTGAGGCTCTGCATACTTTCAACTTCAGCTCAATTCATTTGACAGCCAGTGGAGACGTGAGTCCACAGTCATTAGTCAAACACAGCACAAAGGCAATCTGCTTATGAAGCAACGTCCACGTGTGTGTGTGTGTGTGTGTGTGTCGATACTTTACTGCGCAGGTTTGTTTGCGAGCGACTGTGTGTGCGTGTGAGATGATGCAAGGACAAGAAGTCAGTTAATTGTTTGTTCGGGCAGTTCGAATTAATCCGGCATAAACTTTGGTAATTATTTGTTTCAGTGGCTTAACCGAGAAAAGTTGGGAAACCGTCTGGTTCCAGTTAATCCGACTTGAGGATGTTGGTAAATTGAGTCTTTGACCTGCGCTCCTCGTTGGGCTCTCCGGACTATTTCTTGACATTTGAGAGACTAAATAAATAATGGAGCAATGAAAACCAAGAGAGCCACTGGCTTTGTGAGGTTGTGCTACAGTGTCGGCTCACGCTGCTGACATACAGGTGTGCAAGCAGGTGTGATCTCTACCTTGGTCAGCATCTTCATATTAGGTCTGCATGAGGGAGAATGTGTTTTTTTTTTACCTGACAAGGGTGACAGATGGAAAGTGCAGGGAAATTTCAAGGCAAAGTTGTAAACATAATTCGTGGTCGAGGATGCATTCTGTGGGGACCGTGAACGTCAAGCCATCTTGTTTGTGTTGCTATATATCGTTTGGAACTCAGTGACAGAAAGTTAACGGCATCTCTTGAACCCAAAATCCAAAAAATGGGCAGCATGGTGTTGCAAGGTGGACGGTCCTGGGTTTGACTCTCTGATTGGGTCATTCTGTGTGGACTTGTTCCTCCTGTGCCTGTGTGGGATTGTACCAGGGGCTCCGTCGTCCTCCATCCATCCACTATCTATACACCGCTTAATCCTCATTAGGGTCATGGGGGGCTGGAGTCTATCCCAGCTGACTCAGGGTGAAGGCCTGGACAGGTAACCAGTCTATCACAGGGCTACACTTAGAGACAGACAACCAAGCACACTCACATTCACACCTACGGACAATTTACAATCACCAATTAACCTCAACATGTTTCTGGACTGTGTGGGAGGAAGCCGGAGAACCCGGAGAGAACCCACGCTGCACGGGGAGAACATGGAGACTCCACGCAGAAAGATTCCGGTGCCCCCACCGGGACGCGAACCGGCGACCTTCTTGCTGCGAGGCAACAGTGCTCATCACTGCTCCACCCTGCAGCTCTCCGTCTTCCTCCCTCAGCTCAAAGACACGCCGAGTGGTTGCAAACTGGTCATACGTGTGACTGTGTATGGTTGTCTTTCTTCCTGTAATGGACTGACTCTCCCAGGACCCTCTACAAGATAAGATAATGGATTGATGGACTTTTATACAAAAATAACCTTTAGGATGTGAAGCCGTGCGGGGGTCAGCTCAGAGTTCACAGCTGGTGGCTCTAATCTATGGCAGGGCAGATCACCACTCCTCTCTCTTTAATACACAATCACACTGACAGTCTGCAGGACCCACGAGGCCTCTTTGCTCACCCTTAGAATTGCATAACACAACCTGAGTGTGCACACATGTGTGCACAGCTGTTTGGTGCCGATAGTCCAAAAGAATAGGATGAGGGTAAAAAGAAAAGAAAAAGATGAGAAAGACAGGGGATTAAAAGGAAAAAGTAGGAGGGTGAGAGGCGATCAATAAAGCTGTTTTTAGTGGTCACTGCTCCTCCACTCAGTCCGCGTTTCTCTTCTGAAGAGCCATTTAAATCATTTTCTATCTGCTGCTCTCAATAACTGATAAGCCTCTGGCCAAACTTCAATCAGCTCCTGAAAATCAAGGAGCGGGGCATAGTTCTGTTCCCTGTGATGTTCCGAGCCGAGCAAGGTGCATCGTGTCGTAAACCGCTCTTAAATCGCAGCGGGGCCGCCTGCATGGCCGCGGGGCGGACAACAAGAATGGCGCTTTAACAACAATCCAATGACAGCGAGACGCGGTGAACTGCGCTGACTTACGGCACACGATGTGAAGGACGCCGAAAGAGCATTAATTAAGAGGCGGCGGTTTGGCGTGCAGGATTAAATGGAGGGGGATGAAATGGGAGTGTCTGCTGAGATGGGATCTGGTGTTTTTATATTGGTCAGCACGGCGTTAGCATGTTTGATGCAAACTACGGGGTTTGTCTCTGCGGTAAAGCGCCGCTCCCTTCAGTCTACCTGTCCTCAATCTTTGCTCTGCCTGTCTGAGTAAAAACCAGCCCGACCTGCAGCCTGATAACACGTCCACATCTTTTAAAAAATTAAACCAATTCAATTCTAAGGGTTCTTTTTGTCAAGATACTCCTGGCAGCTCAGAGTGTACCTCAGCGACAATGATTACTGGTGTTTTGGGACAGGTATTTAATTTATATATCAACCTGACCTCGATTCCCAGCGAGGGGTTTAAAATATGCAAAATGCAGGCTGCAATAAAAGCTACGATTTGAATAAGAGCCAATTATACGTATGAGTCAGTAAGTTATCCAACACATCTGTCTTATCTCGACTTCTCTTTATTGAGAAACCCTAAAAACAAACTGACTGCTATATAAAGGCGTCGCTGATAAAGTCGGGTCAGATTCGTCCCTTGACTTCGTCGGCGCTGATCGTGCACACACAGTGACAACAGGCACTATATTAACATCAAAAATCCCTGATCCCAGATCTGCCACAATCAATTCAAAATGCTTCATCTGCGGAGGAAGTGCAGAAAAACAGAAACTCAATACAACACAAGGGGCTCGTCTTTGACGAACCTTGTCGGCGTCTGGCAGGGTTTCAACTTGATAAAGGGCAGAAATTTCTAAGTGAGATGTTTAAAATCTGTTAAATTGACCTGAGTTCTTCTTTAAGAGATGCGCTTGTCACGGCAAATTGTGTTGATTGGACACAGAATCAAATATAGCATTTGTATTCACACAGGCAGGGGGATTAAATGGCAATCTAATTACTTAGATCTCCATGAAAACAACCTCTCTGGAGGTGGAGGGAACACGGGATAGGAAGCAGAGCAGCGGAGGAACATGCAGTGTGGGAAGAATAGCTGTCTATGATATCTATTAGGATGTTTTTTGTGTGTGTTTGTGCCTTTGTGCCAGGGCCGAACCCCTAACTCTGGGCTTTATGATGAAGCTGGTCTGCAGGGGACATATGGGCCCATAAATCATTTTAACGCAGCCCGCTAAGAAGTCAGCCATGCACTCTTCAACATAATCAATTTGTCCAGGAGTATATGGCATCATCCAGCCCATCCTTAGCATAACAACAGCACCGGATCAATATGATGCTGCGGTCTATGGGCATGGACTTCAAACAGAATACACGAGCTTCTACGGTCTCTTGTCCTTGTCTGGTCCCACTTTCCTCATTTTTAACCATCTTGAACGTCTTTCTTTCATCCTCCCCGAGTAACTTTTTTTTTTCTTTTTTTTGCTCCTGAACATGTTATCTCCTCCTAACAGTTAGCAGAGTGTTTTCAAATGAACTTGGGGGGATTCAATGCTTAATACAATGTGCATGACATTGAAAGAGAATAAGAGAGAAAAGGGATGAAAAGATTATTGCAGTTCATTCCGTCTTGCCAGGTGATGTAATATCTGTTACTGAGAAAGGTGGGGAGAGGGGAGGAGGAGGAGGAGGAGGAAGAAGTCAGAGAGTAGGCATGAGAGACAAACACAGAAAAAAAAAATAAAGGAGACAGACAGGATGGTAGCAGGAAAGCAGGGGGATTTGAAATGCATTCCAGCATCTTGACGCAAAAACCCTGTAATCTCATTTTCCTCACGTTGCGTTTATATGGGTTAATGTGCTGATCTAACAGGGAGATAGGTTTAAGTGGCTGCGATTAAGGAAGTGGATCGGGGAGGTCCCCAGCACTGGGTCACACTGCTCACAATAGACTACAATTATTTCCCATCAGCACAATTTTGTCATTAGCTCGCACGTCTCGCGATTAATTCAGAAAAACGGGGCACTACGGCCGATCATTAAGCTAAACTATCTGATGGCAGAGCGGTCTTTGAATAACGCAGCGCCAGAGCAAATAGATAGTAAAGCAAAATCAACAAAGGAATGGGCCTTTAAAAGGAGGAAGGATCTCCCATCTATTGTCTGAGGCTATGAAAATCAATTAAGCGTCGCTAAAGGCTCAAGCGCTGATTACATTATAACATATGGAAATTACCGAGCGGCAAGACTATCCTAGCGCACGACTCTGCTGCGGGGAAGATATCTCTTTTTTGTGCGAGCATAATGATGTTTTCCAACATGGTGGCAAGCCGGTTACCATAGCTACAGGAGTGATCCTTGGTAGGACAGATAGTGTGAAGGGACAGTGAGGACAGTCAAGAAGAGCACATTCATACCGGGGAGATAAGGGAACCAAAAAAAAAAGGGAAGGCGGGGTGAGGATGTGCAACAGCGAGAGGATGAAAGAGGCAAACGGCGAGATAAAGATGTTTAAAAAGTGGGATAAAGGGCAGGTGAGAGTGAAGCAATGAATGAATGAAATGAGAGGTTATGCATGGTACCGGCAAGTTTTTCCCCTCTC